CAGAATTGGCTATATTTCTTTTTTTATTTAATAATTAATATTTTTTTATAAATGTGTAGCTCATTATACATATAAAACCGCGCGATAGTAAATTTTGAACACAAATATCAAAATTTGAACACAAAAATCAAACCATGGGCCAAATATAGTAAAATTGCGTTTTTAGTTTTTCACTCTGACGTCAGTAATTAAAACATGATTTAAAAAATTCAGAGAAATGTGCTTAGAGAAGGATTATGGGTGTAAAATTAATGAGGAAATCCTGTAGAATTTAAACAGATTCAAGTTTCTAGCAGTGATCGGACTTCTACCACATTGTGGTAGATCTGCCACTTTCTTGGGGATCTACCACATCTACCACACAAGGCCTGAAATCTACCTCATATGAGTAGTCTACTTGCAAACAGCGTTATGTGATTTTATAAAAGAAAATCCAAATTGCTTCTTTTTTTTATTATCTGAAAATTTGGATAAATAAGTCTAATAACATAAAAAAAAATCGCAGTATGGCAGTTTTTGCAAATTTTATATATAAAAAATTAATATAGCGAGTTTTGAAACCGTAACTGTTACATCGCTAGCTTTTGTTAGCCTTTCTCTCTTTCATGAAGATTGGTCTACTTCTTTTTTACGACGTCTTCCACTAGGCACCGAAACTACCACGTTTTCTTGCAGTTTTCTAAGTTCATCAGAAGATGGAGACTTTCGAACTTGTATAAATACGTACAATAAGTATTATAGCGACTTTTGAAAGTGTATATATACATACAGTAAGTATTATAGCGACTTTTGCTAGAGTAGCTAACATTTGATGTTATTTTTTTCAGAATATATAAGGATTTTGTTTGTGGACATGAAACTACTTTAAATACTAGTACGTTAACCACCAAAAACTGAAAATCGAGAAAATTTTACATAGAGCACTTTGCAAGTGGACTACTCATATTCGCGTTTTTGAGTACCTAGTTTTATTTTTACTCGACATAATTTTCTTAGCTTTAAGAGCAAAAATTGTCAACACTAAACACTATATAGTAACAAGAATGATATAATACAAGATTCCGCATTCCCGGCGGCGATGAAATTTCTCAAGTGAAAGTAAACAAAGCCGAATGGGAGGATAAAATAAACTGTAAAATAGTAAATTTTCTTAATAATAAATTTTTCGACAGGAAACGTGGTTACATTATGTTAAATTTTAAAATATATGATTTATAAAAGGGATTAATAGCGAAAATTAAAAAAAACGGCGATTTTTGTGAAAGTATTAGCAAATTTCAGTGCATCTAAAGTTTCTGAGGCGTTGTTTACATTTACTTGAGAATTGTCAAAATCGGCAAATCCCAAGTAGCGGTTCCTGTAACGTGCCACATTTGTTCGCTATATCATGATGTGATAACATGAAACGCTGGCAGCACTCCACAAGGTTGTAAAAAAAATTATGTTCGAAAAATATCTTGAAATGGAGGAACCGCTTTACACTGTCAAGGAAAAAATTGCCAAAACTCAATGGAATTTTAACAACTTCAGTCTTGCTTTGTTATACTAAAATTAATTTAAGTCTAATTAAAAAGATTGCAATTTAGGTGAAACCTTACAGAATTTCTTTAATTTTTGTACAAGGTTTGATCCAAAACCTGAGATCTACCACATTTTTTTGAAATCTACCACATTTTTTTCCAGATTCTACCACACATAATTTTTCTAAGTCCGATCACTGGTTTCTGGTACAGAAGGGCTGGTAATTATTGAAAATGTCTTTTTAAAAATTTTATCCTTGAAATTTCGCAATAATTGTTTTTTAAAAAAGTATATGTTAAGGGCTTATATAAACTCGACAACATCCTCGAATTTCGTTCTTCAAACTTTGTCAGCTTAAAAATTACTTATTCGTCCTTGTGAATCCAAAAAATTAATTTTTTTTAATTCTGCACTTATTTTCTCGAATTTCCTATTGCATTTGTTACCCATATTTTTATTCTACATTGCATTGAATTTTTTTAATAATTTTTAGGATTAAACATATCTTTGAAATTACAAAGTTCTTCAAAATATATCCTGCGGTCAGAGAAAAAAAATAAAAACGCCACTTTAAATAAAAAAGTAGGTTTCAAACCCATTTATTTATTATTTATTTCATGGTAGGAGAGCTTTTCAAACCAAATAGAAGCAATTTTTTCGATTCAAGTTGTTGAAAAGTAATGAATATCTAAATCCCGGGACTAATCCTGGGATCCCGGGATTGTGACAACACCATCTCGAAAATCCCGGGATCGGAAAAAGCCGAAAAATTAAAATCCCTAGTTAATACTAATGTTGCTGCTGGTAAGTACTTTGATTTTGCCTAATACAGCTGTTGCGCAATCAGTAGCGAGTTCGACACCTGTTAGTGCTCTCACCACTCACATGCGTTCGTTGGTAACCGAAAGGGAGAATGCGCTGCTTCAAACTCATTGTGCGCTAGGTAATTCTGTTGCTGTTACTTCTGCTGCTGCCGAACGCCCTATTACTAGTTCTGCTCTTTGGAACAACAATGTCAATGCTGGGGCTGCGAATGTAACAAAAGAGATAAACAAAACTGCTGGTTCGTTGGATGCTGATGTACAAAGTGAGCCTATTATTGAAGCTGAAAATGCAGTGCAGTCACAGTGGTCTACCGTTGGAAAAAATAAAAATAAAAAACAAAAAACTATTATTGGTTCTAATATAGATATGAGTCTGGAAGTGGTTCAAAGACTTAAGTGGCTGCACCTGTCATCGTTCGGGTCGTCTGTTACAGAGGAGCATATACTAAATTATATTGCGACTAAAGCATGCTTAAATAAAAATGATTTGTCTTGCTACAAATTAGTGAAAAAGGGCACTCCAGCTGCACAATTAAAGAGTGTAAACTTAAAGTTGGACGTGCCATCATCACTGTTTGAAAAGGTGCTAGTTCCGAATCTCTGGTCTGTAAATGTGATTGTGCGGCCATTTCGTTTTTTCGAGAAAGCCATGCCGCCATTTTGATGACGTAGATGGTATCTCAGTGGGTTTATTAAAAACTGCCTTTCTTTAGCCGCACCGTTGAAAATTATGTTTAACAGGTCACTCTCCTCGGGTGTTGATGCTTTAGAAATGTCCCGATTTTTGGCCACAGAAATCTGGCCACCGTAATTATACTTGCTTCTCTTCCTTGAGTTGTATTTATTACGTTGAACTTAATAAAAAAAGCTTTCGACAAAATAATCAGTGATTAGCTTTCTAAATGAAAATAAAGTCGACAGCATTTTTGAATGTAATGTAACAGTCCGAAATATCAAAAAGTTTTTTTTTGCGCAGAATCCACCAGGCTAAAAAATGGAAAAATCTGGTTTTCTTGGAGCATTTTCGGCCTTGTTTCACAATAAAATAAAGCAGTTTCCTATGCTCTTATCATCCGTGTGTTTGCGGTGGAAAACTATTTGTAGCGTAAGAGTCTTTTTTACTAATTGAATTTTCAGGTAAAACTATTTTTGAAAGCAATATTGTAAGCTATTCAACGTGCTATTGACCCATAGTTAAAATTTATATTCTCTCTAACTCAAATAGGCTCAGAAAATAAAAATTAACTAGAAAAATAAAAAACGCGAGAATTATACTATTTCAAAAGGAATGAAGCCAAAATAAGCGAAATAAGGACCTAAAAGAAGAAGACGATTTTCTGATTACATAATAAAAATCTATTGGAATTATTTCAAGTATTTTTTCTAGTATCTACTATTATTGTCCTTAAAAATGCACCCTCGAATCATGCTATAAGATTTTACCTTCAAGAGTTACGGCTACTTTAACTGCCGTGTCCTCGAATCTAACATCACCAAACCAAGCATATGCTTTTCTAACTCATTACGTCATCTTCCAATGGCCATAGTGTCGGAAGGAAAAATCGTAAAGCACCATTAGAAGGCACATTTTGAAGGGTAAGAATAGTACTAAATCGCATAGTGGTCGTTGAAGCCGTTTTTCGTGTACATAACCGCGAAAAATCTAAATATATTGGCGCAGTTGTAAATTCGAGCTCGAGTTCTACGCGGAAAATTACTTTGAAACGACCTACAGCTGCACAGCAACAGAAACTTTCAAATCTGTATTCATAATTATCATGTTCTTAATTTCATTGGATTACATGGCAAATCGCAAGTTTACTGAATTCATGCTACTTATTACATAAAAAACACAAAGCCATTAAAAACCTAAATATAATCTTATCGCCACATGTATATCGCACAGGTAAATATTTCTTGCAAATATTGACCTCAAAATTAATGTTATCAGTTCAATAAATACGTAGTTCTTGAGTTTTATCCTTAAGCTAATAAAATGTGGACCAATTTTTGAAAACATTATGTAAGGAGAGCAGACTTTTTCGATAACATCAAACAGCTTTAAGGGGTACTTCTAAAAATTGTAATGTAACTTTTGAAACATTCGTAACTCCTAAACAACAAGAGTTTCAGCGGTATTTGAAAAGCACTGTGAGCCAAAACGTATTTCAACAGTCCGCGATTTGGGCCATGTGATCATTTTCTTTAATTTATAAAGGCAGATACAATCAGCACGAATCGGAATATATTTATAATAAAAGCCTATAACGAAGGAGCAATAACATTGTAAAAAACAAATAATAAGTTACGCTTCTGCTATTTCGGGACTTTTAAGAAGCCCAGGCCCGGGGGATTCACTCCTTTGCCTCCTCTCTTTCGACGGGCCCGTCCACAACTCCTGAGTACCGAAAATCAAGTTTTGCATTCCCTGCGACTAACCTTACTGTATTCAGAAAGAATGGATCACATGCAAAAAATCTTCAGTTTTTCTTAATTTGACTGTACTGTACGGCATTTCAACAACAAGCCGCTCTCAAAAATTACGTTCTCTACTGCTTGGCTAGGCCTAAAGAATATTTTTAAAGAAATTTGACATACATAGAGCTTTTTAATTTTACTACAGCAATAAATAACTATTAAATTTTGTTTTTCAGGATGGAGAGAAGTATTATATATCCACATGCTGCCACTTTATTTGCTGCTGTTTGTGCAAGTATTTTCACTGTAATTGGAATATTTGGTAAGAAATAAATCAACAACAAAATGAAATCAAAATGTTAAATTAATCAATTATGTAGAAAATAAAATAATGGGTCGATTACGGATAGCAACGCAACCACGGTTCGGTTGCCAGCTGGCAACGCAACTGGAAAGAAAATTTGTATTACGAATGGCAACTATCGTCAGTTGCTGTAGAGTTATCGATAATCGAAATTTGACAGTTCGACAACCAGCAAGCGGCTTTACACAAGCTGTGCGAGTGAAATTAAATTATTAAAATAAAGAGTTTAAAGAAAAGACAGCAATAAATCTAAGTTCATCACAATTATTTGTTTAAGAGGAAGAGAAGTGCCTGAACGCGGCCACGTTTAAAGGAAAATTACAATCCTCTAGAGCTACCGCGTGCACTGTAAGCAAAAGTTAGTGCTTTCAAGGTTTTTCTTTTATTACCCTTTTGTGTTCATTTTCAAAGCATATTGAGGACTTCCAGAAGAAGCTGTAGTATAATTGGTTAATAAACAGATGAACAGACATAAAAGCTTGCGCTCCTCCAATTTTTCGTAGAAGGAAATGCCACGGCTTCAATTTGGAAAACTTGGTGCGTCGGTAGTTTTAAAAGATGTGCTTCAGTTCGCTTTTGTTTCGCGAAAAGGGCGTACTCCTCGGGAACTAAAATTTCAAGTTATTGTTTTGTTATTTTTATCATATTCTGTAAAAGAAAACTGCATTGCAAAATGTTAATATCGTTCAAATTATTAAAAAGTAAAATATATGATACATAGATATATACACTTTTCAATTTTCGCTCCTAAATACGCTCCAAAAACATTCCCAGCAACCACAAAAATGTAGTAGCCTGTATACACACTTTGTAGCAACTGCAGTTGTCAGTTGAAAGTTGCCAGTTGCTTTCTGTAATATCGTTTTACCAACTAGCAACGCAACTGAAGTTCGATTGCTATCGATAATCGATCCATTATTTCTTAGTCTAGTTGAGCGGCAACCAATATGGGGAGTGTCTAATTATTTATTTATTTATGTTCAAATCTACAGTACAATGTACCTTACAGACTAGAAAATATATTAGATAGCAATAGTTGATAATACCAAATAATATACAAATCAAGCGATTAAATTAAGGACTTTAATAAAAGCCGATTTGGGAAAAGAAAAGTCTAGCTAATGTGTGTTAGATAATACATTGAATTCCCGAAGTGCCAGAGAAATTGGCGCGTTACTGGCATATTTAGTTTTGAAGCTTTCCCCGTAAAAAGGGTAAACATTTCGGAGACTTCTTTGAGGAAAATTAAAGCTTATCCGCTGAAGCAAAATTGGGCAGTCAATGATGCCACTAATTATATTATAAGTGAACGATAATGAAAGAAATATTCTTCTCTTTTCTAAAGTACTTAAGTTGATCAGCATTAGCCGCGAGCCATAGGATGGAACAGGAGCCTCAAACCGTAGCGAACGCAGTGCGAATTTCAGAAAGACTTTTTGAACGCGTTCAATTCTACCTACCGATAGTTGGTCATATGGTCTCCAAACTATTGCCGCATATTCCAGGTTAGAACGAACAAGAGCCGTAAAAAACAATTTAAAGGTATATGAGTCTGAAAACTCGGAAATGTTACGCCGAATAAAGCCAAGAGCAGAGTACGATTTCGAAAGGATAAAATTAATTTGAGTATTGAAGGATAACTTAGAGTCAAACACGACTCCAAGGCCCTTAGTCTCTGTTACTTTTTGAAGCGCACAGTTAGCAATATTGTACTGTGTTGAAATACCATTTTGGCGCCTTGAAAATGATAAGTGATAACATTTTGTTATATTTAAAGAACGACCCGACTTCAAACACCATAAATGCACTTTATCCCTTTGCAGACTTATTGCCTCGGATGAGTCCTTAACAACTGTGAAATCTTTCATATCATCGGCGTAAAGCAAATAATTCGAAAAAGAAAAGCAGTTGCTAATATCATTGATAAAAAGGACAAAGAAAAGAGATCCTAAAATGCTCCCCTGAGGTACATCTGAAGTAGCCACAAAAGGGTCCGACGATACACCGTCAATAGTTACCACAGAACATCTCTGCGTTAAATACGATTTAATCCATTCTAAAAGCGATGAGTGAAAACCTAAACAAACCAGCTTATTTATTAAGATCTTGTGAGATACCCTGTCGAATGCCTTCGAAAAATCGGTATAAAAACAATCGGCTTGGAATCCTGCCGAGAATGAAGAAGTACAAAATTCGCTAAAAACTGAAAGATTCGATACTGTCGAGCGGCTTGACACAAACCCATGCTGATTCGGACAGATTAGAGATTTAACTGCAAAAATAGAACTTGTCCTTAACGACACATTCAAACAGTTTTGATATGTTCGATAGTTTCGAGATTGGCCGATAGTTCCGAACGTCATTTTTTCTTCCACTTTAAAAAAAAGGTGTGATGGTGAGAGTGGTTGAGAATAGAATAGAAGATATTTCTTGCCCGTCATCAGCAACGTAATTTGACATAAAAAAGTCAGCAAACAAATTCGCTGCTTCAACAGGAGTACTAGCAAATTTATCGTCGAGCATTACCGAAGTAGGTATACTTGCGTATAATTTTTTGGATTTGACAAAATTCCAAAATGATTTCGGAGTAGTATATGCTAGCAGCGCTGCTTGCACTGGTCCAGAATCGGCATATGGTTTGCTGCTTGCACTGGTCCAGAATCGGCAGATGGTTTGCTGCTTGCACCGGTCCAGAACCGCTATACGGTTTGCTGGTAAATGAATGTTTTTAAAGCCTTATAAAAGGGGATTCGGATTATATTTAAAACCATACCAAAAAAACTCTTAATGAAGCTACCCAGAAGACCTCTTACTGATGTAGACTTAAAGAAGTATTCAAAATTTATTCCAAATTTTAGAGGGGTATTCATGTGTGATAGTTTACCCCGTAAACCATTTAAGAGAGAATGTGGAATAATAAATTTGGATAGTTCAAAGGGTCCAGGAACGCATTGGGTAGCTTACTGGAAAAACGACAATGAGATTGATTACTTCGATAGCTTTGGAAACTTACAGCCTCCAAAGCAAATAATAAAGAATTTAGGAAAAAACGTTAAATATAACTATAATAAACAGCAAAGCTATAATTCATATAATTGCGGACATTTATGTTTAAAATTCTTATTATCAAAATAAATAAGTAAATATAAAACCTTCTTTTATTTCAAATTAAATTTTATTTGTTATATATACACATACATATTAAATACTTAGCAATCAACTATGTACACATTATTAACACACTTTTCTAGGGGTGGAGCATCTATATATGTATATACATATGTACGTATGTACGTTTGTTTATATTTCTGACTGCATACCAACACTCTTTATTAATTTTCGACATATAAACCACCTGGTATCGGATTTCTTAGATTTCCATCAGCGGTACACCCTGTGATCGATTCGGGTTCTGAATGGTTTCGGATTTCTCAGCTTTCCATCAGCGGTACACCCTGTGATCGATTCCGGTTCTGAATGGTATCGGATTTCTCGGATTTCCATCAGCGGAACACCCTGTGATCGGTTCCGGTTCCGGACGCAGATTTGTCACCAGCGACATCTTGCGGCTTTTATCTGGATTCTGAACTTGGATTACGATCGGCGACATCGTTTGGCGGAGCAGCAAAGCTTGCGGCAGAGC